TCCATATCTTGGGAATAGTAATCCCAACTGACTTTCATATTTTTCAGAGGGGTTGAAACTGCTGACACGTGCTCATACCCCATGCTGTTTTCCAAACATGTTAGTTTTCATGTAGGGTTGACATCCCCTGCATGGTAGCCACTGAAACTCAGGCCCTAGACTAAGGGTAGACGAAACGACACAGGCCCAGGAAAACCCGCTAGGCCGACGCTGCTGGGGGGTTCAGGTGGCCGGTGACCACTAGGTTACGAGCCCAAGCCATGCTGGAGCGCAGAAGGAAGACTCTGCGAGAGAACGTGGCTGAAGAAGAGGCTGACCAGGAGGTGGAAGTGCTGAAGGGAGGGCAGATGAAGGCCCTGGAAGATAAGAGGCCAGAAGAAGACCAAATGGCGCTGAGGGGAAAGGGAACACCAAGCCAAGGAGGTGAATTCCTGAAGACGCCCTCACAGCCAACCCTGGAAGATGATATGGGGAGAACTCCACGGCAGGAGGAAACCCCAAAGGAGTGGAAGACTCCGAAGACCCCGGTTGAGACACCCCGGCAAGCAGAACCCCCGACAAGCTCCACAAGAGAAAGGGAAGAGAGAGGAGGAAGAACGGCATCGGCAGCCCAGACCCCCTTTCACAGACCCTCAGGAGCACCTGAGACCAGCCCCCAATGGCCTGGGGGACCCAAGACCAGCCCGACCACGCTCCGACCAGCCAACCAGCCAGAACCACAACCGCTGTTCGACGACGAGCAGTTGAGGAGATATGAAGAGTTGCGGAGACAGGCACCGATGCTGAACCCGCCCCAAGTCCAACAGAGGACACTTGAGGAGATGCGACCTGAAACTCTGAGAGAGGAGGAGTTGAAAAGGTTGAGAAAAAGAGAGGAAGAATTGGAGATGGAGAGGGCCATGCTCCTGAGAGAAAGAGAAGAGTTGCAGAGACTGCTGCAACAGAAAGAAAGGGAAAAGAGCCGAGAGAGGCATGAGGAGGAGTTGCAGAGACTGCTGCAACACAAACAAAGAGACGAGAGCCGAGAGAGGCATGAGGAGGAGTTGCAGAGACTGCTGCAACACAAAGGAAGAGATGAAGGCCGAGAGAGGCATGATGAGAGGCGTCAGAACGCCATAGAAGATGAAGATGTCCAGTATAGGACCCCTGAAGAAGAAAGCCAGACAGCCAAGAAGCTGTTTCAAGACGAGCTTAAGGAGGCTGACAGACCCCCAAAGCCCGAGGCTGAAAGACCCCCAACGGCCAGAGAGGCCACAAGACCCCTGAAGACAGAAGCTGCAGGTTCCTCAAGGCAAGAGGAGACCCCAGGAACGTTGCAGCTGATGGCAATGATGATGCATACAATGACAGAAATGCAGAAGAAGATGCTCTCCAAGGATGGAGGAAAAGAAGGAGAGGGGGGAGAAGCAGAGTACGTCAGAAGCCACCCCGAAGTGCCAAGACTGACGGACTGGAACCCCTCGACAGGTCCGATAGACCTGAACGATTGGTTGGCGTTGATTGAGCCAATCATGGCAGACCTCACAGCCACCTCACACGACTGGTGGGACAGGCTGCTGAAAGAAGCAAGACAGTGGTACCAAGACCACATGGCTCTGAGTCCAATGGACAGGCTGACACACGAGCCACAGCCTTCCAAAGACTTGGACCAGCCCAAGTGGATCCGCCTAGAAAGAAGGGCGTCCACACTGCTCATGATGAGCATCCCTGAAGCCCAGAAGGAGGAGCTGGTGTCGACGAAGAGGATCACAGCTCTGAAGATCATCTGCCACCTCTTCACGACCTTTCAGCCTGGAGGATTGGCTGAGAAGGAGGTCATCCTCAGATCGTTGGAGATGCCACAGGAAGCAGCAACAGTGGCAGAGGCAGTGAGTTCACTGAGGAAGTGGATGAGATGGAGGAGACGAGCAATGGAGCTTCAGGTGAGCGAGCCTGATCCCTTCCTCTTGCTCAAAGGCTTGGGACGCATCGTCCGCCGACCTTTGGAAGCCAACAGAGAGCTGAATTTCAGGATCAGCTTGGCCAGGTCGATGCTCCAGGTCGACTCTACCCCCACGAAAGACACAGTGGGAAAGTTCTCGACCCACCTCTTGGCTGAGATGGAGCAGATAGCACACCTTGAAGGCAGCAAGAAGAGCACCAGCAAGGACACGCAGAAGCAAGCACAGCCAGAGGTGAAGGTCAGGAAGATTGAAGAAGGAGGAAAAGGTGAAGGTAAGTCAGGGAAAGGTGAGAGAGCCCCCTGCAAGTTCTTCATCACGACAGAAGGATGTCGCAAGGGAAAGGGGTGCAGATGGGCCCACAACCTTGACGACCAGAAGAGATGCTGGAATTGCGGCTCGACGCAGCACTACGCACCAGCGTGTGACAGACCCCGAGAACCCAACAAAGAGGGAAGTCCGGAAAAGAGCGGAAAACCCTGGGAGGGGAAAGACATGAAGCCGACGGCAAAGGTGGTGAAGAAAGAGGAAGCCACCAAGAAAGAAGAGGTAGCCAAGGAAGGCTCCAATGAAGGAGACAGCAGTGAAGCCATGAAGGGACTGCTGGAAGAGGCCAACAAGATGTTGAAGGCCTTGCAACAAGGAAAGAATGAAGAAGACGAAGGGAAGGAGGTCAGGCTGCAAAAGTTGCAGAAGCAGCTTGATGAACTCAAGACCCTGAAGGTCTTCAGGATCTCCAAGATCCACACAGAAGAAGGAGACTATGGTCTTTTAGACTCTGGCGCGACGCACGCCTTGAGAGGAAGACAGCCAGGAGAATCACTCAAGGACTTGACAGAGGTCCGAGTGACGTTGGCCTGTGGTAGAGACGCCACACTGAAGATGACAAGAGGAGGAACAATGATTGGCCAAGATGAGGAGACAGAGCCAATCGTTCCACTTGGAAAGATGGTCAGCCAGCTTGGCTGTACGGTGGAATGGGATGAGGGAGGCCTTGTCGTGGTTCACCCAGAGAGGGGAAGACTGGCCACAACACAAAGAGGAGGATGCCCTCATATCCCAAGACCACTGGCATTAGACATCATCCAGGAGCTTGAGGAGAAGTCTGGATGGATGAAGAAGTTGAAGACCAAAGAAGAAGACGAAGAAGATGTCTTGAAGAAGATGGTGGCCGTTCATCCGGTCTTCAGAGACCTGCCAGAGGAGGTGAAGAAGGAACTGGTGGTGACGCCATCAAAGGATTTGACAGCCCTTCCAGGGATGAACCGTAGACAAAGACGGAAGATCCAAAGGGAAGGAGCCACTCTGCACCTGTTCGCGGGGGAGGACGACGGATTCACCCTGAGCCAGGCAGTGAAGAGTGCAGGCGGAGATGTCCAGACTCTGATAGAGCTGGATCAGAAGAGAGGACCTGGGCATGACCTGATGAGCTCAGATCCGTATGCCACACTGTTGAGGTTGGCATTTGACAACAGGATCAGAGGGATCCTAGCAGGCCCAAACTGTCGCACAAGATCAGTGCTGAGGAACTACAGGATGACACCAGAGTGTCATGGGCCAAGACCGCTTCGAGAGTGGGGTGGTGAAGAATTTGGCAGGAGAGACCTGCGAAAAGATGAGAAGACAAAGGTGTGGCAGGACGATGTCATGCTCTTCAGGACGCTCCTGTTGTACGTCCTGGCAGTCCACGTCGAGAAGACAAAGGACGAAGAAGAAAAAGAAGAAGGCATTAAGAGAGACGCCAAGACAGAAGAACAGAAGACAGGAGGAGAGGGATGGAAGAAGATCATCCTGGCTCTCGAGCAGCCGAGTGCTCCTGAGTACCTCCCAAAGACGGTCTCCTTCTGGTGGACGGACCAGTGGAGAAAGATGAAAGAGATGTGCGATCTGCAAGAGATCCAGTTCAATCAGGGAGACTGGAAAGGAGAAGAAGGCGGCAAAGGCTGCATAAAGCCCACAACGATCGGCGGGAACGTCGAGATCAAGGTTCCAGAAGAGAGGAACCCAGAAGCCAAAGGAAGATCCCAAGACAGGGTCCAAGACTCAAAGAGCCTGAGCCGATGGGTGCCGGGTTTGATGAAAGAGCTGGCGAAGGAAGTGGTCAAGAAGTGCCAAGAAAGACCCGTCCAGCTAAGGCCCATGTCATGGGAACAACATGTGAAGCATGCACACGTCCCGTTTAGAAGAGACTGCAAGATATGCCAGCAGTCTGGGGCTAAGTCCGCTCCACACCGGCGCTTGAACGCCAAGAAGGGACAATTCCCAAGAGCGGGAGTATTGTCGGTGGACACCACAGGCCCACTAGTGAAGGGTGAGGACCTGATGGGAAACAAGATGAGATTCCTTCTGGTGGGTGCATACACATGGCTTGCACCAAAGGATTCACCTCTAGAAGACAAAAGGAATGAGAGAGTTCCAGAAGAGGAGGTGGATGCGATCGAAGGGCTGAGGATCGATGACAGTGAAGGAGAGGCTGATGATGAAGCAGAACACACAGAGGAGGATCCCCAACAAGACCCCCCTGGCAACCCTGAGGAGCCCCAAGGTGGTGAGAGAGCCATCAACCCCCAGGAGCCACAAGAAGCAGCCAAGGAGGAGGTGGATCAGCCAGAGGACTTTGAAATCAAGATTTTCAGACTGGTGACTCCCTTGCCCTCGAAGGCGGGGGGAGTAGTCCTCCAAGCAGTCATCGACATGATCCTCAAGCTCAGATCAGATGGATTTGATGTTTCCCAAGTCCACTCCGACAACGGAGGTGAGTTCACCTCAGATGCCATGAGAAGATGGATGAAGGCAAGAGGATACATCCGAACATTCACGGGTGTCAGCAACCCACAATCAAACGGCAGAGCAGAGAATGCCGTACAACAAGTGAAGACACACATAAGAAGATTGCTGCATCAAGCAGGGTGGTCCGAAGACCAATGGCCACTTGCAGCGCGCCACTGCGACGAACAGTTGCGCATGTGGAGGTGTGGACTGAAGCAGAAATTTCCACCACTGGGAGCTGAAGTCCTGGTCAAGAAGAGGAGGTGGAATGCGCAACAGTTCCTGCCAACCATGGACCGAGTGACATACATCGCTCCATGTTGGGAAGGTCACGGTCACTGGGTGAAGCAAGAAGATGGGACGACCATCGTAGCCCGGTTCTGCATAGCTGATGTGTGGAACCCCGTGACAGACCACTCGTGGCTGGCAGTCATGACAGAGATGCCAGATCCACTTGAAGAAAGAAGAAGATTGAGGAGAAAGACGCCACCAGAGTTGGCAAAGATGGAGGTTCAAGAAGACGAACCAGGGGAAGAGGGGAGAGACCCTGAACCCAGAAGAAGATCAAGACTTTTGCAGCTGATCATGGAGGAGATGACAGCTCTGATGGAAGACCCCTCAGAAGAGGCCCTGAAGACGACGATGCAGTCTGTGGCCAAACTCCGAATGATGATGGAGACGGGCACGAGTGAAGACGTTCTTCAGACGAGGATCGTGGGCCTGGGGGAGGTGATGAAAGACCTTGAAGGATGGAAGAAGCCCATCGAAGAAGAACTGAAGTCTTTGGTGGAAGACAAGATGGCCCTTGAAGCCATTTCCAAGGAGGAGGTGGAGAAGATGTTCAGGGAGGCACACGCCGAAGGAAGAAAGCTGGAGGTGGTGCCAGGAAAGCTGGTGACGGTGGTGAAGCCCGCACCAGAAGGAGGAAAGAAGAAAGCCAGAATAGTGGCGTGTGGAAACTTCACGGCGAAAGATGCCCAGGACGAACTGTACGCGTCCACTGGTGATGCAGTGACTTTGAGGATCATGATGAAGTTAGCATCAGAAAACCAGTGGGACGGAGTCACGTTGGACATCCGTACAGCGTTCCTCAACACACCATGGGAAGACATGGATGTGTTGGTGAAGCCACCCCACTTGCTGATCAGGATGAAGCTGGTCGAAGAAGGCACGCTGTGGCGGCCGACGAAGGCCTTGTATGGCTTCAGAAAGAGCCCAAGGTTGTGGGGAAACCACAGGGATTCCACGATGAGGAAGATGGAAGTCCCACATGAAGGGAAGCGACACAGATTGACACAGCTGGTGTCGGAACCCAACCTCTGGAGGATAGATGAGGTGAAAGATGAGGATGAAGAAGAGGAGAAACCGAAAGGGCCTCCAAAAGCCCTGATGATGGTCTACGTGGACGACTTGTTCGCCACAGGTCCAACACAGCTACTGAAGGCGCTGACTGAGACCATCAAGAAGGAATGGAACACCTCAACTCCAGAGTGGATCAACGAAGATCCCACAAGATTCCTCGGCATGGGAATCTCCAAGACCAAAGGAGAGGATGGTCTTGAAGTCTGGGCAGCATCCCAGCAGGACTATGTCAAGGAGTTGCTGAGGAGGAACGTGGGGGAGGATGAGAAGAAATGGCCCAAGAGAAAGGTGCCAATCTCCAAGGATCCACCGGCTGAACACCAAGAAGAGCCAAAGGTGGAAGGAGTCAGGAAGGCCCAGAAGATAGTGGGCGAAGCACTCTGGTTAGTCACGAGGACCAGACCAGACATGATGTATGCCTTGGCGAAGATGGCCAGCCAAGTGCTGCATCAACCCCAGTGGGTCGCAGAGAGCGCATCCCAACTGTGGGGATACATGGCTGCCACGATCCATGAAGGGATCACCTTTGAGAAAGGTCCATCATGGGAAGGATGGGAAGAGCAGTCAGGGCTTGCTGTTTATGCTGACGCAAGCTTCGCACCCTCAGGTGAAGAAAGTCACGGTTCAGTGATTGTGACTCTGAGGGGAGCCCCGCTGCTATGGAAGAGCTCAAGGCAGTCGACGGTCAGCCTTAGCACAGCGGAGGCAGAGCTGAACGAGCTCATAGAAGGACTGATGATGGGGGAAAGTGTTGCAGCGATTTTGGAGGAGCTGGAACCCCACATCATGAAGATGATGGCATCAGACTCGCAGGCAGCGGTGAACATCTGTCTGGCAGAAGGAGGAAGCTGGAGGACCAGACATCTGCGCTTGAGAGCAGCGCATGCCAAACAGAGATTCACCAAATTTCAAAGGAGACTGGCTGCTGCGACATTTGCCAGGCGAAGACATGCTGGCAGACATTGGGACGAAGAGCCTGACGTCAGCCAGGTTGGAAAAGCTCAAGAAGGGGCTTGGCATGAAGAAGATTGGAAAAGATGAAGAAAAGAATGAGGAGCCAGAAGAGAAGACGGCACCAGAAGAGGCAGAGAAGATCAAGAAGAAGGAACAGGGGACCAGAGTCCCAAAAGAAGTAGAGAAGGCACTCCAGTGCGTGGCGTTGATGATCGCCATTCAGGGAGCCAAAGCTCAAGATGATGAGGAGACCGAAGAAAGGGCAGAGATGTTCCACATTGAGCTAATTCTGATGTTTGCTCTTGTGGGAGTGGTCTCAGTGATCCAGAGGATCATCCCTTGTCTGATGGGCTGGCTTCGGAGAGACCGACAGCCTGAGGAAGAGCCCGCAGAAGAAGAAGGAAGCAGGGTGAGAGGAGCACCCACAAGACGCCAAGAAGAACAGGCGTTGAGGACCCCAGAGAGCATCAGGAGGAGAAGGAGAGTGGAAGCCAGGGATGATGAAGACACAGAGGAGGAGACAGACCCAGGTGTTCCATTCCCTCACGGAGATCGTGATGGGAACCTCTTCCTGAGGAATCCGCCGGGCCCAAAAGCACCGCCAAGACAGCTGGCACACATGTATCCCATCCCAAAGGGACAGCAGAAAGGCCAGCAAGCAGGCCAAGCAGGCACACAAGTAGGCCAATTGGGCCTACAAGCAGGCCGACCGGGCCAACAGGCAGGCCAACAGAAAGGCCGCCCACAACAGGCAGCTAGCAGCAGCACAACACCGGTGCACATGCTTGTGCCACCACCACCACCACCACAAGAGCCAGGCGCAGAGCCACCACGGCTGGTGGAAGAGTTCTTCCAAGGACTCGTACAAGAAGAACACGAGCACCCAGATGATTGGGACCCGGAGACCCATGGGCAGATTTACCCAGGGAAAGGAAGTCCACCACAGGCATACTTCCAAAGGATGGCCGAGAAGGGTCAAGCCAAAGGGAGTGAAGAAGGAACGCCGATGAAGGGCCAAAGGAGGAAAGAAAGGTGATGATGAGATCGCGGCCAAAGGCGCGAAAGGAGGAAAGAAAGGTGATGATGAGATCGCGGCCAAAGGCGCGAAAGGAGGAAAGAAAGGTGATGATGAGATCGCGGCCAAAGGCGCGAAAGGAGGAAAGAAAGGTGATGATGAGATCGCGGCCAAAGGCGCGAAAGGAGAAGGAAGCCCACAGAAAGGGGCACCCAAGGGCCAAGGAAAGAAAGGCCAGGCAGAAGGTGAAGAAGTCCCAGAGACTGGAGCACAAAAAGGAGGAGGAAAGATGGCCGAGAACGGCGAAGGAGATGACGAAGCAGCACCTCCAAGAGTGCCAAGTGACGAACATGGCGTGGCACTGCCGGTGTACATCACGCCATGGGGCACAAGATTCCATACAGGGGTCACCTGCCCCACTTTGGCGAACTCTGGATGGATGGTGAGGTCGCCGTGGTGCCCTCTGTGCTGTGTCGGCCTCCAGCCGAGCTCCGCTACCATCCTCTACTCAGAGGGACCGGGGAGAACAGTGCATAGCCGACGAGAATGCGCTGGGCCGATGCAAGGCTACCCCATGTGCCAACGATGCGACGGGTACCAGAGGTACTGAGAGTGGCTTGAGCTGAGGGCACAAAGATGCCGTGCGTAGACCCCAGACCAATGCTGGGTTGCACTGGTAGGTTTTGATCCGGTGGCAGCTGTCACCGAAGATGTCTGGATGGAAATTCCCAGGCATGCACGAAGCGATGGTTCAAGGCCTGACGGTCCAGAACCAGGGGGAGTGCTGACACGTGCTCATACCCCATGCTGTTTTCCAAACATGTTAGTTTTCATGTAGGGTTGACATCCCCTGCATGGTAGCCACTAAAACTCAGGCCCTAGACTGAGGGCAGACGAAACGACACAGGCCCAGGAAAACCCGCTAGGCCGACGCTGCTGGGGGGTTCAGGTGGCCGGTGACCACTAGAAACCACCAACCGGTAACTGTGTCAAGCTATTTTCTTTGGAAACTCATCCCATTTCATGTAAGGCATCCAACTGCCATACTCCATCAGAGCCAGCTTCGGGATGCCAAAACTTATGTACTGTATATGGGGCCTCGTATACATATCTATGTAGATATGTAGCTAAATACATACATATATAATCATATATACATATATAATCATATATATGTATGTATGTATGTATGTAATGTAATGTAGTGTAGTGTAATGTAATGTAATGTATGTATATTTTATAGAATGGGCTAGCGCCCTGGTGCCGCCGACCCCCCTATTGGGGGTGGTCCGGTAGAGAGAGAGAGAGAGATCATTGCGCTTAGAATTGTGATAGCTACAGGAAAGGTCTGCCGCGGCCTGAGTGGCGCCTGGGAGCTGCAGGGAAGGGTTTGGGGAGTTTTGAGGGCTGGCAAACGGCAGCCTTGAACGTCCATAAAAAGACGCTGCCACGGCCTCAGGGACTTGTTGGAGCTGCAGGAAAGGTCTGCCGCGGCCTGAGTGGCGCGTGGGAGCTGCAGGGGAGGGTTTGAGAGTTTTGAAGGCTGGCAAACGGCAGCCTTGAACCGCCTTAAAAGGACACTGCCACGGCCTCAGGGACTTGTTGGAGCTGCAGGAAAGGTCTGCCGCGGCCTGAGTGGCGCCTGGGAGCTGCAGGGGAGGGTTTGAGAGTTTTGGCGAGTTTTGAAGGCTGGCAAACGGCAGCCTTGAACCTCCTTAAAAGGACACTGCCACGGCCTCAGGGACTTGTTGGAGCTGCAGGAAAGGTCTGCCGCGGCCTAAGTGGCGCCTGGGAGCTGCAGGGGAGGGTTTGTGGAGTTTTGGCGAGTTTTGAAGGCTGGCAAACGGCAGCCTGGGACCTCCGTAAAAGGACACTGCCAAGGCCTCAGGAACTTGTTAGAGCTGCAGGAAAGGTCTGCCGCGGCCTGAGTGGCGCCTGGGAGCTGCAGGGGAGGGTTTGGGGAGTTAGGCGAGTTTCGAATGCTGGCAAGAGGCAGCCTTGAACCTCCATAAAAGGACACTGCCACGGCCTCAGGGACTTGTTGGAGCTGCAGGAAAGGTCTGCCGCGGCCTGAGTGGCGCCTGGGAGCTGCAGGGGAGGGTTTGTTAGAGCTGCAGGAAAGGTCTGCCGCGGCCTGAGTGGCGCCTGGGAGCTGCAGGGGAGGGTTTGGGGAGTTTTGAAGGCTGGCAAACGGCAGCCTTGAACGTCCTTAAAAAGACGCTGCCACGGCCTCAGGGACTTGTTGGAGCTGCAGGAAAGGTCTGCCGCGGCCTGAGTGGCGCCTGGGAGCTGCAGGGGAAGATTTGGGGAGTTTTGAGGGCTGGCAAACGGCAGCCTTGAACCTCCTTAAAAGGACACTGCCACGGCCACAGGGACTTGTTGGAGCTGCAGGAAAGGTCTGCCGCGGCCTGAGTGGCGCCTGGGAGCTGCAGGGGAGGGTTTGGCGAGTTTTGCGGGCTGGCAAACGGCAGCCTTGAACGTCCATAAAAAAAGACGATGCCAGGGCCTCAGGGACTTGTTGGAGCTGCAGGAAAGGTCTGCCGCGGCCTGAGTGGCGCCTGGGAGCTGCAGGGGAGGGTTTGGCGAGTTTTTGCGGGGGGCCTCAGGGACTTGTTGGAGCTGCAGGAAATGTCTGCCGCGGCCTGAGTGGCGCCTGGGAGCTGCAGGGGAGGGTTTGGGGAGTTTTGCGGGCTGGCAAACGGCAGCCTTGAACGTCCATAAAAAGACGCTGCCACGGCCTCAGGGACTTGTTCGAGCTGCAGGAAAGGTCTGCCGCGGCCTGAGTGGCGCCTGGGAGCTGCAGGGGAGGGTTTGGCGAGTTTTGCGGGCTGGCAAACGGCAGCCTTGAACGTCCTTAAAAGGACACTGCCAGGGCCTCAGGGACTTGTTGGAGCTGCAGGAAAGGTTTGCCGCGGCCTGAGTGGCGCCTGGGAGCTGCAGGGGAGGGTTTGGGGAGTTTTGCGGGCTGGCAAACGGCAGCCTTGAACGTCCATAAAAAGACGCTGCCAGGGCCTCAGCGACTTGTTGGAGCTGCAGGAAAGGTCTGCCGCGGCCTGAGTGGCGCCTGGGAGCTGCAGGGGAGGGTTTGGCGAGTTTTGCGGGCTGGCAAACGGCAGCCTTGAACGTCCTTAAAAGGACACTGCCAGGGCCTCAGGGACTTGTTGGAGCTGCAGGAAAGGCGGGAAAGGTCTGCCGCGGCCTGAGTGGCGCCTGGGAGCTGCAGGGGAGGGTTTGGGGAGTTTTGAGGGCTGGCAAACGGCAGCCTTGAACCTCCTTAAAAGGACACTGCCACGGCCTCAGGGACTTGTTGGAGCTGCAGGAAAGGTCTGCCGCGGCCTGAGTGGCGCCTGGGAGCTGCAGGGGAGGGTTTGTCGAGTTTTGGCGAGTTTTGAAGGCTGGCAAACGGCAGCCTGGGACCTCCGTAAAAGGACACTGCCACGGCCTCAGGGACTTGTTGGAGCTGCAGGAAAGGTGTGCCGCGGCCTGAGTGGCGCCTGGGAGCTGCAGGGAAGGGCATAGGGAGTTTTGAGGGCTGGCAAACGGCAGCCTTGAACGTCCATAAAAAGACGCTGCCACGGCCTCAGGGACTTGTTGGAGCTGCAGGAAAGGTCTGCCGCGGCCTGAGTGGCGCCTGGGAGCTGCAGGGAAGGGTTTGGGGAGTTTTGAGGGCTGGCAAACGGCAGCCTTGAACGTCCATAAAAAGACGCTGCCACGGCCTCAGGGACTTGTTGGAGCTGCAGGAAAGGTCTGCCGCGGCCTGAGTGGCGCCTGGGAGCTGCAGGGAAGGGTTTGGGGAGGGGAGTTTTGCTGGCAAACGGCAGCCTTGAACGTCCATAAAAAGACGCTGCCACGGCCTCAGGACTTGTTGGAGCTGCAGGAAAGGTCTGCCGCGGCCTGAGTGGCGCCTGGGAGCTGCAGGGAAGGGTTTGGGGAGTTTTGAGGGCTGGCAAACGGCAGCCTTGAACCTCCTTAAAAGGACACTGCCACGGCCTCAGGGACTTGTTAGGAGCTGCAGGAAAGGTCTGCCGCGGCCTGAGTGGCGCCTGGGAGCTGCAGGGAAGGGTTTGGGGAGTTTTGAGGGCTGGCAAACGGCAGCCTTGAACGTCCATAAAAAGACGCTGCCACGGCCTCAGGGACTTGTTGGAGCTGCAGGAAAGGTCTGCCGCGGCATGAGTGGCGCCTGGGAGCTGCAGGGAAGGGTTTGGGGAGTTTTGAGGGCTGGCAAACGGCAGCCTTGAACGTCTATAAAAAGACGCTGCCACGGCCTCAGGGACTTGTTGGAGCTGCAGGAAAGGTCTGCCGCGGCCTGAGTGGCGCCTGGGAGCTGCAGGGAAGGGTTTGGGGAGTTTTGAAGGCTGGCAAACGGCAGCCTTGAACCTCTTTACTGCCACGGCCTCAGGGACTTGTTGGAACTGCACAGGGTCTGCCGCGGCCTGTTGCGTTTTGGAACGCCGTAGAAACAGAGATTGCTGTGGCATGAGTGGCTCGTGGGAAGCGCACAGAAATTGCTGTGGCCTGAGTGGCTCCTGGGCGGTGAACAGAGGGTGCTATGGCCTGGGTGGCTCGTGGAAAGTGTAAAGCATTGGGAACGAAAAAAAGTTCCACACCTGCAGTGGTCCCAGGCGCCGCCCCTGCCTTGGCTAAGGCAGGGGTCGGCGGATATGTATTTATGAATTTGCATACATATATTCTGTATATATATATATATATTATGTATATATATATATATAAACATGTATATATATATATAGATATGGATATAACATAATATAATATATAGGATATATGTATATATATATATACAATATTATTTGATGGTATATATATATATATATATATTACATATAGGTATTTATAAATAAAACATGTGTACATACATATTACATGATAGGTATATCTGGATCTTCCTGCAGGCGGTCTTGTGCCCGACGCAATTTTTCCTCCCTGATGGTGATATTATTAATCCGTCATAACATATCATGCCACCAAAATAGGGCTGAAAGTTCGGTTTGTTTCACCCAAATCGTGGGTATTTCAGCCTGAATAGCGGCTGCTTTTGATTGGTTTTTTGAGTTGTTTCTCCTTGAAAACTCCCTGCAATTCTGCCTGAAAAAGCAAACATGCCTGCAATCAAACAAACAACCTGAAATCCAAAAAGGCAGACTCTGTAAATCTGTCAGAAATGACTGTTCAACAAAAAGACAGAGGTATACATTAATATATTTGAATATACATAAATCATGATTTATGTAAAAAAAAACATGTACAAGTATATGTATGAATAGACGTATATGGGGGTTTCCTGAAATGGGGGTACCTCCAAATCATCCATTTTAACAGGAGTTTCCATTGAAAACCATCTAGCTATTGGGGTACCCCCATTTATGGAACCCCCCATATAGACATTTATATAGTTAAGCTAAGTATACATAAATCATGATTTGTGTACCATAAAAAATGTACAAGTATATGAATATACATATATACATGATTATATATATATGATTATATATATATATATGATTATATATGATTATATAAATTAAATTATATTATATTACATTGTATTATATTATATTATATTTATATTATATTATACTATACTATATT